TCTTTGGAAAACGGGTTATTTTTAGAAAACAAAACAACGGACTGGGTCCTTATGGGTTAGTTGCCGAAATGAAGCGGGGTGAAGGAGATTTGTGCAGTTCAAAAAAGACAGAGGGGCATTTCTGCCATTCGCCATTTGTCCCTCCACCCCCTCGGCCAATCTCCACACTCCACTCTGGCTATTTATGGTAGAAGACCTCATGATTCTACGCAACTCGGAGGAGTTCTGAAGGCTGAGTTCATGGCATTATAATTCTAACCTGTAGCTCCAGGAAGACAGGAAGCTTCAAACAAGACTGGATTTGGTCAATGAAACCACACTTAGACCCGTTCGATCCCTAACTCAGGTCACAATTTCTTAATGTATTTGTGTGCATTTTCACACGTTTTTGTTGTCTAGTGTTCTTCACAAGCTTTGCTAACTTTTATTGTTGCTATACTGTACATTACATTACATTATTAAGTCTATTAAGACTATTTTACTGGTCAAAATAGAAAAAACAAACATACATGTGATCTTTTAATAACTGGAAACTCTTCCAATCTTAGAGGGATTGTAAGATATCTAGAACTCTTTCATTGTTTATTATCCATTAATGGAGATAGACATCATCAAACCTATATTTCATCATAACATATCATTTAATTATACAATGCCAACAAATATTTCAGCCTTTGTGAGCTGGTCCATTCCATTTATCTGTGTCCACACCATTTTGAAATTTGTTACCTTCTTTTGTAAATATACCTCCCTTCATCCTTAATTAAGTATTAAGTATTCAAACCAAATGATATTTAGTCCAGTTTAGTTCACCATCATAGTGAAATTCCATACTTTTACATGCAGGATGATCAAAATGTTATATTTACCAGTATACCATCTGGGCTACGCGGCAATTGTGGTGCTCAGGTTACCTACATTTTTACTTTAAAATGCCCGAATACTGAATCCGATCTCAGATGTCTGACGTACTTTTTAAAAAAGCTCTTAATAACAGAGCGTGGATGGCCCCTAATTGTAGAGCAAGTTGTCCACCGGTTACAATGTTGACGTATCAATTCCTGGTCACCGCAAAAAAAAAAAAAGCCATCTGGTTCTGATCTGCTGATCTGTGGGTGCACAATTCCTGTTTGCCAGAGCCGGGTGAGCTCTCCGGGCCCCTAACACCCGGGGGCCCCTAACACCCGGGGCCCCTAACAACCGGGGCCCAGGCCTGTGTTGTTGACAATCCCTCTTTAAATTCAACTCAATCAATTCTTGCCAAGAGTTTGAACCCCGTGCAAAATGGAGTCTGTTTATAGCTCCTGCAAAGTCTGGAATGTTGATTTTCTTTTCTTTTTTCCCCCTCTTTTTTTGTTTTTTTGAGGGTGTCTCAGATATGTTTTTGTTTCTCCATGTCTGGGAAAAAGTCTGTATCCACGAATTCCTCCTGAAAGAGACCCATCTCTTCTCTAATTTATTTGTTTGTTTTTTTTTGCGTGGATTGGACTTTACGTGGGTTGGAGAGGTTGAAACGTCCCTATAGGACGA